CCCTTTTGGCCTCGGAGAATCTCAGTATTTTGCTCTTATTTTGAAAGTTTCGTTGCTGCTAACCGCCACAGCCCTTCCTGTCTGCTCGGGTCGCTGCGGCCGTCCCGGTTCGGTTCTGGAGGATTCGCGTCCGGGAGCGAGCTAAACCGTTTGAGCTCGAGCAGACGTCACTCGCAAAAGACAAACTTTTCCATTGGAAAACTTTTATCTTCCTGGACTGAGGAAACACGCCCTCACCGAGCGTTTCCCTCTAACGATCTTAGCTTCAGAGTTAATCACAGCGATTCATCAAAAGCTGCCGTCCTCTGCAGCTCAGCACAAACCCCACGATTCATGGAGGCCGCACTTCCAAAGAGGAAACATGAAATATCCGACTAATACTTTCCACTAATATTAAAAAGATGCTAAAGCTCACGTACCTCCTCATTCCCGGGATGTTTCCCCAGAAGTAGCGAGCTCTGCGGGCCGGCGTTACGTGCATGGCGTCCACCATCACTGGGTTACACTGACGGAAAAACAAGACACAGTTTACACCTCGTCAGTTTAACGAAGGAAGCACACAGGAAGAGGAAGAGGAAGGGTTATGGATCCAAACTGCAGTGAGCGCGTGCAGACCTCCAGGAAGCGGCAGATGCTGATTTTGTTGCAGGTGTTCATGGCGACCGTGTTCTCGTACAGCCAGAAGAACGGCCGCGGGTCGTCCTCTTTGGGCTTCAGCCACTGAAGGATGCGGTAGTAATCAAAGAAGAGCCTCCCGGTGCCCTCTGCAGGAGGGAAGAGGAAGTGACACAGGAAGTGACACAGGAATCCCAACGACCAGCTCAGCCACGACACCATAAGTTCAGAACATTGACACCCGTGTGACCGGACGAGCTTCAGAAACGTACCGTAGAGGCCTTTCCTTAACGGGTTGACGATGGAGAGGTCGTTGCAGGGGCTGCCGCCGATGAGCAGGTCAAAAGGGCCCCACTGCTCGAGCTGGAGGAGCAAAGAAGACGTGGTGAGAAAAGGGGGCGGGGCCATCAAACACAGTTAAATCTTCTGTCTCAGCTCAGAAAAACAAACTGGAGACGCGCTCTCAGCCTGTCCGCCATGTTGGTCTCCTGCTCGCACGGATACGCTGTGGAGACGCCAAAATAAAACACAGACATACGCGTTCCTGAGTGATGTGCCGGACGTCTCCGATGTGGACGATCTTCCCGTCGTGGTTGGCGGTGGCAACGGCGACCGAATCCTCGCAAACCTCGGAGGCGACGTATTTGTCTATCTTGATGCCCAGGACCTTGAGCACGTAGAAACCTGTCGAGAGGCGGAGGAAAGAAGGGTCGGTGTGGAGAAGCAGGAGCGTACGGCTGTTTCACCGGAGCAGACGGGCAGGTAAAGCTCACCTGTGCCGACGCCGTCGAACAGCGACAGGACTCTGACGGGTCGGCGGAGGTTTGCAGGGATGGACGGGTAGACGCGGTGAGGCTCCTGCAACAAGACAAACTCAGCATCACACAAGAGCAGGACAGGAAGTCACGCGTGACTCATAACACGGGGTGCTCCGATGTAAAAGAAGTAACCCTGAGTGGATCTGATGCCGACACCAACATTTTATTTCTAATTTCTATTTATTTTGAAGAGAATTAAAGTAAATGTGTCACCAACATAGTTTAAACCTCTGCACAAACACATAAAACAACAGAAGCACAGAACTGGTCCTGATCCTGCTGCGAGTGATGCCTGCAGTTCACTACATGGCCACAGGGGTCACTGTGACAGAGGGCTGCAGGGAGCTGTGTGCCGCTGCTGGCACGCCCTCTCATTTTAGTGTTCAAGGAAAAAACAAACAAGAAAACTGTTTTGTTTTTTATTTCAAA